TTCAGCAGGAAAAGACAACAGGATGCTATGTGGCAACAACAACAGCATGTGAATCAGAGGTGAAGTCATGACCCCACTTTGCTCAGCATTCCTTGGGGTCACACCTGGAGCACTGTGTCCAGGTTTGGTCCCTGTTGTGCCAAACAGAGCTGGCCAGGCTGGAGACGCTGCAGAGAAGGGCCACAAAAAGGATCCAAGGGCTGGGAAGTCTTGACTTGTGAGGAAAGGCTGAGAGACCTGGGCTGCCCCAGCCTTGAGGAGAGGAGGCTGAGGAGATACCTCCCCTCATGCTCCACTGCTTTAAGGGTGGCCACAGAGGAGGTGGGGACTCCCTTTGTGCAAGGAGCCACGTGGAGAAGACAAGGGCTGAGGGCTCCAAGGGACTCCTGAGGAGGCTCTGATTACAAGAGGGAAAATTTTCACCATGAAAATCAACCACTGCAATAATCTCCCCAGGGAAGTGATGGATTCCCTCCCCAGCATTAGACATTTTTAAAAATCTACTGGACAGGGCTCTGGCCCATCTTGCCTGGACCATGATTTTGCCAAGAAAGTTTGACCCAGGTGATCCTTGAGGTCTCTTCCAACCTGGGATTCTGCAATTCTGTGAGCTTGCAAATTAAGGAATATTTGTCCTAAACAAATCATAGCTGCGGAACATTTGTTCTGATTATGTTTAGACACTGCAAGACAAACAAGTCTGTTGCTGCCATGCAAAGAAGAAAACAAATGGAAAGCAATTCAAATTTTAATATAAAGTTAGTCATCATGTGTGATGGAAAACCCAGGAACTGAAAAAAGCCTTAAAGATAAGAAAATTTATCACCATCTAGCAAAGTACATGAGAAAGCCAATATGATTTCTTGATGGTTTAGTTCCAGTAAAATGAACTCACTTTTAAGTATACTTCCTGAAAATATTACCTTCCAATAGCAGAAGCTGCAAAACCATTGACATATTAAAGACACAAGGAATAGGAAATGTCTATGCTTTATGAAGATTTATGAATGATATATTATCATGGCATCACATAGTGATGCATCAGTCGATCTCTGTCAATGATGAAT